GTGTGTGTGTGTGTGTGTGTGTGTGTGTGTGTGTGTGTGTTACAAGGAAGGGAAAGGTTTAGGGTCATGGGGGAAAAGAGGATTAAAGGAAGTAAGCTCACGTCCCCTTGTGACCCTGGAGCTTGTAACAGCATACTTCCTCCTATTCAGTCCTTTTTGTCCACCAACATGAACCACACCCAGAGTCGCACACCTCGTTTCCTACATTTGACCCCCGTTTCACACTGCGGTTACAGAGTATTTGTTTACTGCTTGTCGAGATTTTTTATTTTTAGCTTTATTAGAAAACCATCTGTAGCCACTTTAAATTTTGTTTGACACTTTTAGATGAATTCAGGTGCTATATTTTTTTTCTAAATATAGTCTTTATGTGTTTTGTGTTTTATCTCTTTTGCAGACTCGGATGCAGAGTCTCCAGCCCGACCCCGCAGCTCGCTACAGGAATGTGATGGACGCTCTCCGCCGAATCGTAGTCACAGAGGGGGTGCTGCGACCGCTGAGGGGTCTCAATGCGACCGCTATCGGGGCCGGGCCCGCCCACGCCCTCTACTTCGCCAGCTACGAGAAACTCAAAAAGACTTTAAGTGACGCCATTCATCCAGGGGCTAACAGCCATTTGGCTAATGGTACCTCAAACATGTATACTCGATACACACCATAAACCTGTTGATCTTGTCTGAAATCTAAGGTCGTATGAAGCTCGGTGCGCATCTAAATCAGTGTAGTTCAGCAAAGATTCATTTTTGAAGCCTTCCTCCACATTGATGTTTTTTCAGCTTGATCTTGTTATTCCTGCTCTTTTCTTTTATTTCCAGTTTAGTAGGTGTCTGGGTAAGTCCTTTTCTCCCATTACTCCTGCTTTTTCCTCTTAAGTGTTTAATTTGGTTTAAAAATAGCAAAGGAGCCTTGTCCACTAGGTGTCTCTCTTTCCTTAGGTTTGGCCTTCTGAAAGGGATTAGGAGTTATCTCTGGCTTATCTGAAGTAAAAATGCACCACTTCTGCTTTGTTAATGTATGAAGCATGATGTGCAGAACTTTTAAGAGTAAAGTAGGGGGTTCTGTAACACAATCAGTTGGGTTTTCTCAGGGTTCTGTGTCTCGTCTTGGTCCCTGAACGTTCACCTTGCTGTGTGGTAACTGCAGAGGTGTGTTTGTTCCAGGAGCAGCTGGTTGTGTGGCCACATTGCTTCACGATGCAATCATGAACCCCGCTGAAGGTAAGGCCCGACATTTTTTACTCTCATTTCCCTCCTTCACTGTAGCTTAGAATATTTCGCCTCTCAAACACCAGTTTTAAGTTTCAGAGTAGAAACTCGCAGGTGCCGGGCTTAAAAGAGCTACCTTCCGAGCCATTAGTCTCGGCCATCTGCTTTCACAGCTGCCCCAGGTCCACCTGCTCAGACATGTCAGTGGAAGGACATTGGTCTGACAGTCCTCTGTGCAGCTGCTTAATAAGATGCAGCTGTCGCTTTAATATTTTACTAAAAAGATACATTAATTTGCTAGTTTTACCACAGATTTGTTGCTAATTTTTGTCTCTTTTTTTTCTACTATGATGTTGACAACGCTGGACATGTTTGGCCCTTTCCCCAATCCGTCCATCCCAGTTGTGAAGCAGCGCATGCAGATGTATAACTCGCCGTACCGCGGCGTGTTGGACTGTGTACGCGCCGTGTGGCAGAGGGAAGGCCCCGGCGCGTTCTACCGCAGCTACACCACCCAGCTCACCATGAACGTGCCCTTCCAGGCGCTCCACTTCATGACCTACGAGTACCTCCAGGAGCTGCTGAACCCCCACAGACAGTACAACCCGTCGTCCCACATGGTGTCCGGCGCTTTGGCCGGAGCGCTGGCGGCGGCGGCCACGACCCCACTGGACGTGTGCAAGACCCTGCTCAACACCCAGGAGTCCCAAGCCCTCAGCTTGTCAGGCCAAGGCAAAGGAGCCCACAGACACATCTCAGGCCTGGCCCACGCCTTCCGGACCGTTTACAGGCTGGGCGGCCTGCAGGGCTTCTTCAAAGGAGTCCAAGCCAGGATCATCTACCAGATGCCCTCCACAGCCATCAGCTGGTCGGTCTACGAGTTCTTTAAATATGGACTAACTAAGCACCAACACAACAAGAGAAGAGCGCCACACGTGGAGACCGAGATGTAAATCTCTCACTGGTTTAATGCCTTCCAATATTGATCCGAGGAATAATAACGCACATAAAATCCAACAAAGATACGCCTCAGTTGTGTCGTCTCTTTCAGACAAAGCAGATAAGAAAAACATCATAAGTCATTTAGAGTTCAGTTTCTGCCAAAACTTTTCAATAATAATTTGAGTTATAATGTTTCTCTGATAGGAGGGGGAAATTTTCATTGTAAGACTTATACTAAAGTAATTTTAAGCCCTTTCAGTGATCACTGTTAAAGCTGAGCACACTATAAAAATGAAAGGTTGTCAGCAGGGGGCAGCCATTTTACTCTGCCACTTGTAAATTTAGAGGCCAAAAGATGTTTTTTTCATTTTTTATATAAATGAATAATTAAGTCACTTAGTCTGGACCCTCTTTAAGTGAACATTCAGGTTGGGTTTTACTCAACTTGAAGTGTTTTTTTAGCCCTTTATCCAAAGAGAATACATTTGGATTTGTTTTTAATACACTTAAGATTATTTTTCTCAAACTTTTTTTCCTCTTAATTTTTAACAAATTCATCCAAAAGAAAAATGCTAAACATCTTTTAATCCTGCATCAATAATTACCATAAATGTTAAGGGTTTAAATTGATATAAGGTTTTGCATTTCAGAAGAAAGAATAATTAATTCTTTATTTAAAATTTCTGACTTGTTTTTATTTGTTCTTCAATTGTGTGTGGGGGGAAGAACATTTTGTCTTTATTTGAACAAATTTAATCGAATTAGTGCATTTTTTTCCCCATCAAATAAAATACTTGAGTTCTTCCTCGCTGCTGTTATTAACCTGAGCAGTGCTAAGGCGTAGCTGTCGGGTTTTATTTTATTTTTGTTTTTTTTGCCTGTGAACTACTGAGTCCTAATGTTAGTGCTCAGCAAAGATTTTGTGTACAAGCTGTGATCAGAGAAATTTAACTCATATCAATGTTCATTAGCCATAAAACAAATGCCATTCTTACTGACTGATGTCTGATGGTTTTTTTGACACTGAATTTCACCTGTTGAAATAAAGACTCGGCAGCGAGATTCTGTTTGCTGCTCATAAAACATTCTGCTTTTCTGTGATTCAACAATTTTTTTATTAAATTGATTATAGTGCATTTAACATTGAATTTAAGGTTTTAGTTGTCTAAATCACATACACCCTGCAAGCAACACACAGGGACTTGTGTGTTTTTTGTTGGGGGGGTCTTTATTTCAGGCAGGTACAGTTGTTTAGTCTTGAWCACAGGTGCAAATTTCAACTTTGACCTCTGAGACAGAAAACGCAGAGTGAACTTGTGGGTCTGCAGCGTGCCTGCAAACTGGGAGAGTGAAGCTTTGGAATTCAGCAAATGATGCACGACAAAGTAAACTTTGATAGTTAAAAAAATTACAGTTAAAGTGAATAAAAGTATTACTAAATAAATGCTTTTTACATAATTATTAATTACATCAGATTTTTCTGTTTATAAATATCAATTAGGATAAGTCAAATCTAAAAAAAATTTAATCCTGTTTTATTTTTTTTTCTTTGACAGTTCAGTTAGAGGTGCAGTTTTTCTTTTATTTTGGAATAATAGGCCGCCTTCGACAAGCTCATCGCTGTTKTTTTTTTTTTTTTCTAGGTGAAAGGAGAACCAAAGCAAAATGATTTTGCAAGAATACACCACGCAGTCTTGTGAGTTTTGGGGAAGCAGACTTAATGCCCTGCAGATTACAGTGAGGAGTGACATCTTCCCCACCCCAGCCTCCACTTGCACACCCACTCACAGCCACGCTTGTCAGGCAAACACCTGTTCAAACAGGGAGAGCTAATGAGCTGTCTCTGGTGCTCACTCTGTCTGCATGCATGTACAGTACAGGAGCATGTTTGTTCTGTAAAAATAATTATAAACCAGATGGGTTATTGCAACRTTATATTTGTGACATCAATTTATGCAAGTAGAAAGGGAAAAAAAACACACTTAAACCATCCAAAATAAAACAGTTAAATATGTTGCTTGTAATATTTAATGTATTGCTGGCAACAGAAATGAATGATTTTTTTACTGCTTTATGTAGCATTTTAAATATTCTAACATGGTGGCTGGAAATCCAATTTTTAATTGAGAATATTAAATTCCCTAAGCCAAAGTTATTTTGTCTGAAATTTCCCCTTATTATTTTTAAAAGTGAATAAAAATGAATTTGTTTGCTTAATAGTGTATATAGGAGGTTCTGTCTAAAAAAGTAGGTATAATTTGGGCAGAAAATAATTGGACTTGAATGGAAATCTTTGAAATGTCAAAAACCTTTTTTTTCCTTTCTTCATTTTGCACCTACAGCTGTGAATAATATTGTGCTCCCAGAACTCATCAAACGTACCTATACCTTCCTGATTCTGATCTCACACTTAATCCACGCTTGTTTAACATTTGAACCATTTAAACATGAAATGACTTCACTTTCTAGTCAAAAGGAAACACTCCCTTGTGTGTTGGTGTAAGACTGTGTTTTGGAAACTCAAGCCTGCGGTCAAAGCCCCTTACATTAAACACCTGGATGTTACCACACACACACACACACACACACACACACACACACACACACACNTTTCGATTTAGGATTTAATATCTAAAATTTAGTATGAATTCGCAAAATGTAAGAATAGTGAGCTAAGTAACAATAAAATTTTAGTGAAAAAATTTTAGCTCGGATTTTACACTCAGAAAGTGAACTAAATATGAAAATGTGTTAGTGACATTTTTTCAACATTTTTTACAGATGCCCCATATTTTAAACTCCTCCCTTTTGAGTTTTCTCAAAAGCCCTAATGATTCTTGTCATAACATTTTCATTTAAGAGCTGACAAATGAGTTTGAAACTGAAGTTGTTGTTGTCTTTCCACTCAGAAGGAGTGCAGAAGATGAGGATTATTATCTTTTTTATCCCTGTTGTTGCCTAAATGTCTCTCACGGTTTTCCTGTGAAGAGCTGGGACGTAGGGGGGAGCTGCAGCTCCTGTCATCACCTAACAGAATATGTTGGAGGAGGATTCTTCCCACCGCAGCCGAGAACACAGGGTGATCACTGGCACACAATCAAATATGGCCCTGCTCATTCATACAACCATTCGCCTGTGGGAGGGAAACAAAAAAAACAGCAAGAAACATTTTTAATGCAACGTTTAAGATGCAGAACAGGTTTCAGAGGGTTTGACACGCATGTTTGCTTAAAAAGGAGATCCTTCACACTTCTCGTGCAATAAAAGAATTTCACGCAAGACTTGCTTTGAATAGTAAATCCCTGATAAGTTCGAGTATTTACAGTAGAATGCCACTACTAATGAGCCAAAATAAAGAAAACTGATATTTTTTTTAAACTAGCTGCCAAAACTGTGATGACTGAAAACAAATTCAGGAGGCTTTGTGGCCAAAACTAAAGACAAGAAATGTCTTTGTCGCCTAAGGAGGGATCAGTAATGTGGAAATTTACCCCCACAGTGCTCTGATCAAAGCACAGGCCACAGAAACGTGCGCACACAAACACTCACAGCCCTGGGCTTCAGGCAGGGCGTGATGAACGGCAGCAGTGTTGCAGATGATTGCAGGTGTCCAGAACTTTCTCCACTCAGAGCTCCAGTGTTGTGACAAATTCCTTTTAAAGGTAAGTGAGGTCAAAAAATGGTCTTGCAACACATTTGCACACAGACACACGCACGCGAGCACGCACACACACACACACAACCTTAAGATGTCTGTCAGTGGAAGTGGAAGCAGCGTGGACAGGATTCCTTGCATGCGCACGTGTGCGTTTGTGTGTCGGAGCAACACAGGTGCAGTCAGGGACGCGGAGGAAGAAACGGGCCTCCTGCCCTTTGAACTTGATCTTGAAAAGCAAGCTGTCCTTGCTTCCTGTCAGATAGGCCCATCGGCCATGCCTTGGAGCCTTGCTTTGGCACGTGCTGATTTAGAAATGAAACGTTTAATAATTAAGCACAAAAGAATCACATTGATGGAACGATGGACGCTGAGAGAAAATAGTAACAGTATTTTTTAAAGCTGTTCTTAAGTTACAGCATATGTTTTTGTGTGTGCGTGCATTCATTTCTCTGTTAGCAAAATATTTCATGAACCACTAAATGTATTCCAATAAAAAGGAGGAATTCCTGGATGTGTATCTGCAACTGGTTAGTTTTGTAAATCAGTCTAATACAAGATGGCTGCAGAGTTGTAAATTAACTAAGTACAAATACTTTGTTACTGTACTTAAGTAGAATTTTCAGGCATCTGTACTTGAGTAATTATTTTTCAGCCTACTTCACACAATTATCTGTACTTTCTACTCCTTACACTTTTTTATAAAGGCAAGAAATAGAAAATTGTTACTTTTATTACATTTTTGCTTGTTTTCATTCCAGCTTATTGTAAAAAAATAAATGCTATCCATATAAACTATGCCTCCTAGATTGAATTTAACTGTGGTTGAATGAGAAGTATAAATATATAAAATTCTGATACCATATTAGTTTGTACACAAACAAATCATGTCACACTCCAGCAGGACATAATCCTTAAAATAAAAGGACTGTACTTAAGAAGTATTTGTATTTTATGAATTATATTATTGCATTTGGCCCGCAGCCTTTGGGTAGATTTTCATTTTGGCCCTCTGAGGGAATAAGTTTGGGCACCCCTGCTCTAAACCTAACTAGTAAAGCACAGCAGAGATGCAAAGTGAGAACATTGAAGAGGTCCTTACTTTACATCAAAGACCTCACTTTGATAGTAACCAGGGTGCAAATGGTCCTTGCTCTGTAATAAAAACAAGCACACACACACACGCACACAGAATGCAACAGAATACAAGTTCTCGACAAGTTAAGGTCCTCTGCAGTAATTCTCTCCCACCTTCCCTCTCACTTACTCTCTAAATTTATGAGATTTTTTTTAGTTTATCTTCTCAGAAATCAGTATATTTATCTGAGTCCTGATTGCTCCACTCAACATGAATTAAAGAGTGATACAAGATTAAGGTCATAATATCCACTAAATGTTCTGTTCTGGTCAGCAGCAGATGGATGAGGTGTGACTTCAGGCTGAATGAGATGAACTGTGATCTCACGCTCTTCCAGGGTGCTGCTGGATAAAGGAGCTGTAGCTGTCATTCATCTGGCTGTTGTGTCTTCTCATCTGGAGGGGAGGGAGAAACAAAAAAAAAATGCTGGAAAACCCAGAGATCGAAAGGAAGAGAGAGTTGTCCAAGTGTTTGCTATATGCAGAAAAGGAGCATGACAGGATGATTTCAGACATATTTTTTTTAGATATTTAAGTTGCAAAAAACTGAAAATTGCACCCTTCTTGCAAAGGGAAATCAAAGCATGAATGTTGATTGAGCATTGTCACAGTAAAACCCCATAATTTAGAAAATTAGCTCAGATATTTTAATATGGAGCACCAAGTGTAAAGTAAAATGTTAAAAAATGTCACATTTTTTCTGAGCATAGTTTAAAAAAAAACACCCACTAATATTTTATTGTTATTTAGCTCACTGTTCTTACACTTTGCTAAATTTTTTTTATCAATTGTTTAATTCTAAATGTGAATGTTTAAATCTAAATGTAAAAGTAAATTCTCAAATGTGGCTAAATGTTGCAGTTTACATTTAAGTATTTCAGAATAAAACTCTGCCTTTCCCGATTATGTGCGGCTTTTGTTGTGATGTCATCATCCTGAGACAAAAACAAATGCTAACGCTGCTAACATTACTAAAGGCACACACACACAGAGAGAATGCAATGTGCAGCATGTTACATCCTAACTGCCAAAATTCAATAATACACAGCTGCAGTCACGCTGCACTTTGTCAAATGAACTAAACCCTGTGAACAACCTGCGCCCACCCCCCCACCTGTGGTGGCGCTGCACCAATAACTGCTTAAGGAATCAACATGAAAACCTCAGAAGAAGACATGTCAAAAAGTCAACAAACATGGAGTGACATCAAATTTCAGCATTTGTAGGATTTATTATTTTGTTTTTGGCAAGTACGACAAACAAAAACTCTTCAACAACGAGCTCAGCATGAGTGGAAGACAAGGCGGAACTGTGGAGAGTGTTTTTTTTTTCCACACCAGGTGACTGAGACGTCTCGGTATGGGGCCGGCGTTCGCCGAGAAGGAACACATCCAACTTCTCAGCCGGGATGTCCACCTTCAGACATCGATCGAGGTATTTACAAGCTATGAGTAACTTTATTACTATTGTTACTCAGGATGACCATTGTTATAGTCCACTTCCTGCTTTTGGAGCGGCCTTCGGTCCGCTTGGCGTTCAAATTGTTGGGCTTCAGATGGTGTGTGGAGGCCACTTCAATACAAGACATCACACTTGCGGCCAGTGTCTGAGCTGCACCTCAAACCGACGGACCCCAGATACCATCCATACTGTTTTCATTAAACACATTTTGAATTTAAACCATAAGGCTGTGTCCAAAACGGTCCTCCGAAGGCCGAATTCGTCGGCTGCATACGTCACAGCGCCGCGACGAAGGACGTCCAAAACCGAAGACTTCTCTGATGCGGCCGACAAATGTGTCCTTCCTTTGGCCCGAATCGAAGGACTGGTCTGATGGATCCTTCCCGACCCAGCGTATCCCATAATGCATTGCGGCCCGACCGGAGATTTTTTATGCTAGTAATGGCAGACGAAGCGAGAGAAAATAATACGTTTTAAATAAAAATATGGCGATATAAAAATTAAAAATTTCTAGCGGTTGTAGTTTTAATACTGTTAACATTTGTATAGACATGTTTTTAAATATTATTTTTGTCATAAAAACCGTGAAATAAACATGCACCTACGGCGGGTCAATTAGTTCTTCAAATATTACCTTTAAGTTAATTTTATTATTTTGTGATATTAATAACACTAATTGATATTTTTCTAATTTTGATCTATTTTTGCTTCTGTTTAGCGTCGTCACATTTGCAAGGTGACATGACGTACTCCGGGGTGGAGGGGAGGCTAGACCGTCCAAACTCACAGGCACTTTTCTTCCAGTCTTCCTGGTCAGGACCTGGCCCACCTCAACCGGGTAGACTGCGTCCTCCGGAGGACCCGGCCTGCCATTTTGGACACAGCCAATGTGCCATCTTTTGCAGAGGTTAGCATTTGCTTATGTCGCAGGATGATGACGTCACAACAAAAGTCCATTCCGTAATTGGTAAATGTAAACTGTACCATTTAGCTTCAACATTTAAGCTTTAATTTTAAAATTTCGATTTAGGATTTAATATCTAAAATTTAGTATGAATTCGCAAAATGTAAGAATAGTGAGCTAAGTAACAATAAAATTTTAGTGAAAAAATTTTAGCTCGGATTTTACACT